TTGCAGCAACAATGGTTGCCATGGTAGTGACGGTGGGTGTTGCAGCAACAATGGTGGCCATGGTAGTGTGACGGTGGGTGTTGCAGCAACAATGGTGGCCATGGTAGTGTGACGGCGGGTGTTGCAGCAAGAATGGCTGCCATGGTAGTGTGAAGACGGGTGTTGCAGCAACAATGGTGGCCATGGCAGTGTGCCGGTGGGTGTTGCAGCAACAATGGTGGCCATGGTAGTGACGGTGGGTGTTGCAGCAACAATGGTGGCCATGGTAGTGTGACGGTGGGTGTTGCAGCAACAATGGTGGACATGGTAGTGTGAAGACGGGGGCCTTGATGCTGGTGAAGGAGTCTTAATCTAAGTGGAGGTGCTCTCCCTTTTCTAGGATCAACTCTGTGTACCTCGTACCCCCTATATTCCCCAGGTACAGTGTGACCACTACGGATTTAACAGTTCCCTTTAATTAATTAATTTAATAATAATAATAATAATAATGTTAATTGAGAAAGAAAATCCAGAGAGCATTTTTATATGCAATAAGATAGGGTTGGAAGACAAAAGAAGCGAGGGCAGACAACCAAGCTGCAACAATACGGGTTGGAAGACAAGAGCGGCGAGGACAGGCAACCAAGCTGCAACAACAGAGATAATTGCTTCAGTAAGAAAAACATAATACAAGTTTGAATAAGACGTAAAATTTTCTGTCTGCGTTTTAAACAGAAGTGTACTACACAACCCGCACCTTGGTGAAGGTGTAACATTGTCCATTACACCTACATACAAACATTGTCATGTTTGTATTTAGGTGTAATGGACAACTTAAGTTACCTTACCTGTGTGTGTACTCACCTGATTGTTTTTGCAGGAGTCGAGGCTCAGCTCCTGGCCCCGCCTCTTCACTGAGCGCTACTAGGTCCTATCTCTCCCTGCTCCATGAGCTTATCATACCTCGTCTTAAAGTTATGTATGGTTCCTGCCTCCACTACTGTGTGTGTGTATATGAGGGGGCCAACACTGTTATAATATTACTTATATCAGTGTGTGGTGGCCAACAATGTTATCTTACTTATATTTTTTTGCATGGTGGGACATTTGATGCTATCTTATTTATTATTTTTTTGTGGTGGACCATTTAATGTTATCGTATTTGTATTTTTTTGTGTGTGGTGAGCCATTTAATGCTATTATCTTTATATTTGTGTGGTGGAGTACTTAATGTTATTGCATTACTTGACGCTGTTCAATATCGAAATTTTTCTTTTTCACAGGTTCACTACCGCCATCATCCAGTGCTGTGAGACAGATAAAAGATGCTGTCTTCTCTCCCTCATTATCATGGGCTGAGACAGGAGATGCTGTCCTCTCACTCCATCATCATGTGCTGAGAGGCTGAGATTTGTCTTCTTCCTCCATCAACATGGCTGTGAGGCAGATAAGAGATGCTGCCGTCTCTTCCCCATCATCATAGGCTATGAGACAGATGCTGACTTCTCTCCATCATCAAGGAATATGAGATAGGAGATGTTATTCTCTCTCCTATACCATCATGTACTGTGGGAAATGGATAAGAGATTTTCTCTTTCCATTATTGTGGACTAAGAAACAAGAGATACTGTCTTCCTTGAAGCAGTCTGCTCTGTGAAAGACAACTACGAAACGAAGTTCTTTCCTCTCCCGCCTGTCAGTGAGACAGACCAAGAATATGAGCGAAGTGTTTGTCAAAGAAAAAAAATAGCTTGTGCTGCACCTTCTTGCGCGCGTGCATGCATAAGCGCACGCGCGCATGTGTGTGTGTGTGTGTGTGTGTATACTCACCTATTTGTGGTTGCAAGGGTCAATTCACAGCTTCTGACCCCGCCTCTTCACTGATCGCTACTAGGTCCTCTCTCTTCCTCCTCCATGAGCTTTATCAAACCTCGTCTTAAAACTATGTATGGTTCCACTACGTCCCTTGCCAGACTATTCCACTACCTAACTCTATCACCAAAGAAATACTTCCTAACATCCCTTTGACTCATCTGAGTCTTCAACTTCCAATTGTGACCCCTTGTTTGTGTCCCATGACTCACGAAATCGTAATGACACGATTGCAAACAAACCATACCCCGGCCGGGATTGAACCCGCGGTCAGAGTCTCAAAACTCCAGCCCGTCTAGCTGGTCTAGTGGCTAACGCGACAAGCTGGAGTTTTGAGACTCTCTGACCGCGGGTTCAATCCCGGCCGGGGTATGGTTTGTGTCCCATCTCTGGAACATCCTGTCTATGTCCACCTTGCCAATTCCTCCCAGTATTTTGTATGTCGTTATCATGTATCCTTTAACCCTCCTGTCCTCCAGTGTCGTCAGGTCAATTTCCCTTAACCTTTCTTCGTAGGACATTCCCTTTAGCACTGAAACTAGTCTTGATGCAAACCTTTGCACTTTCTCTAATTTCTTGACGTACTTGACCAGGTGTGGGTTCCAAACTGGTGCTGTATACCCCAATATGGGCCTGACGTACACGGCGTACAGAGTCTTGAACGATTCCTAACTGAGGTATCGGAACGCTATTCTCAGGTATGCCAGGCGCCCATATGTTGTAGTAGTTATCTGGTTGTTGTGTGCCTCAGAAGATGTGCTCAGCATTATACTCATCCTAAGATACTTTTCCATGAGTGAGGTTTGCAGTGTTTGGCCACCTAGCTTATACTCTGTCTGCGGCCTTCTTTACCCTTCCCCGATCTCCATGACTTTGCATCTGGCGGGGTTAAATTCAAGTAGCCAGTTGTTTCACCAGGCTTGCAGCCCGTCCAGGTCTTTTTGTAGTCCTGCCTGATCCTCATTCGATTTAATTCTCCTCATTAACTTCATATCATCTTCAAACAGGGACACTTCCGAGTCTATCCCTTCCGTCATGTCATTCACATATACCAGAAATAGCATTGGTCCAAGGACTGATCACTGTGGAACTCCGATCACACGCACCCACTCTGACACCTCGTCACGTATCATGACTCGTTGTTGCCTCCCTGTCAGGTATTCTTTGATCCACTGCAATGCCATTCCTGTTATGCATGCCTGATCCCCTAGCTTTTGCACTAATCTCTTGCGAGGAACTGTGTCGAAGGCCTTCTTGCCATCCAAGAAAATGCAATCAGCGCACCCCTCTCTTTCGTGTCTTACTTCTGTTACCTTGTTATAAAACTCCAGTAGGTTTGTGACACAGGATTTTCCTTCCCTGAATCCGTGCTGGTTGTCATTTATAAGCTTGTTTCAGTCTAAGTGCTCCACCACTCTCCTGATAATCTTCTCCATGACTTTGCATACTATAAAAGTCAGTGACGCTGGTTTGTAGTTTAATGTCTCGTGTCTGTTTCCTTTCTTAAAAAAGGGGACTACATTTGCCGTCTTCCATACCTCAGGTGTTTGCCCAGTTTCAACGGATGTGTTGAAAATTGTTGTTAGTGGCACACACAGCATCTCTGCTCCCTCTCTAAGGACCCACAGAGAGATGTCCGGTCCCACCGCCTTTGAGCTATCAAGTTCATTTAGCAGCTACTTCACCTCCTCCTCGTTTGTGTGCATCTCATCCAGCACTTGCTGGTATATCCCTTGCTGGTGTACCTCCTTATTTTGACTTCCCGGAGTCCTTTCTGTATCCACTGTAAATGCTTCCTTAAATCTCATTTTGAGCTCCTCACATACTTTTTGGTCGTTTCTCGTGAGTTCCTCACCATCCTTCCTCAGCTTGATTACCTGGTTTTTTACTATTGTCTTCCTCCTGATGTGGCAATACAACAGCTTCGGGTTAGACTTGACTTTTGATGAAATGTCGTTTTCATACTGTCGTTGGGCCTCCCTCCTTATCTGTGCATACTCGTTTCTGGCTCTTCGATTAATCTCTATTTTTCGGGGTCCTTTGTCTTCTGTACTTTTTCCATTCTCTAGTGCACTTAGTTTTTGCCTCCCTACACCTTTCGGTAAACTAAGGGCTCGTTCTGGTTCTCCCACTATTTCTGTTCCCCTTGGGAACAAACCTCTCCTCTGCCTTCTTGCATTTTGTTGTCACATAGTCCATCATATCGTTTACCGATTTTCTTATCAATTCTCTTTCCCACTGAACATCCTGCAGGAAGTTCCTCATGCCTGTGTAGTCCCCCCCTTTTGTAGTTTGGCTTCTCCCATCCTGTTACCCTTTCCACTTGTAACTCTATGTATTCAAAGCTCAGAACCACGTGATCACTAGCTCCGAGGAGCCTTTCGTATGTGATGTCCTCTATGTCCGATCTACTCGTGTTAAATACGAGGTCCAGTCTTGCTGGTTCATCCTCACCTCTCTCTGTGGTATTGTCCCTAACATGTTGATGCATGAGGTTGTCCAGTACCACATCCATCATCTTGGCTCTCCAAGTTTCGGGACCCCCATGTGGCTCCAGTTTTTCCCAGTCAATCTCTTTGTGATTGATATCACCCATAACTAGTAACTTTGCTCTATCCGTGTGAGCTCTTCTGGTCACCTCACCTAGTGTGTCCACCATTGCTCTGTTGCTCTCTTCATATTCTTCTTTTGGCCTCCTGCAGTTCTGTGGCGGGTTTTACATCATTGCAGTGACTACCATATGTTCTCGAGACTGAATTGTACCTATGTAGTCCCTCTCGCCTATTTCGCCCATTCCTTCCATTTCCTCAAATCCCCATCGGTTTTTAATGATCAGTGCAACTTCTCCTCTTCTGCTCCCTTTATCTTTCCTCAGGATCTGATATCTGGGTGTTAAGATTGTGTCTGTTATCATCCCGGTGAGTTTCGATTCTGCGAGTGCTATGATGTCTGGAGACGTCTCCTTGATTCTTTTATACCACTCCTCACGTTTTTTTTGTTATCCTGTCCGCATTCGTATACTAAACCTTCAACTTTTTTTCTAAAACTGTGGTCTGGAGAGAACGTTAGGGTTGGGGGAGCGGGAGACCTGGCGAGGAACTATGGAGGATTTCTGTGGGGGTGGAGTTTGTGATGAGGGAGTGGGGGCAGTGGGTACAGTGTGTGGGTTTTAAGTTAGATTGTTTGGTTGCATTGGGATTGTCGTGGTTGAGATCTTTCTGTAGGTGGTTCTGAGGTTGTATTTGCTCTTCCTCCTGAGTCTGGGTTCTCCTGCTCATGTGTGTGTGTGTGTGTGTGTGTGTGTGAGTTAGTTAGTTACCACTTTGTGTGTATGTGTGTGTGTGTATACTCACCTATTTGTGGTTGCAGGGGTCGAGTTACAGCTCCTGATACCGCCTTTTCGCTAGTCTCTACTCGGTCCACTCTCTCCCTGCTCCATGAGCTTTATCGTATTTCTTCTTCTTCTAGTGAGTGTGTGTGTTAGTGAATCAGTAAGTTATGAAACACAATATGAACTGAAATATATTTTTCTACCCACAGGTGGCTAAGATAAATATATATATATCTATGTACCCACCAGTGATTATAAACTCTGACGAGGAAGTTTTTGCTCAAAAACAGCTTACTTTTAATTAACTCTCGAACTCTGAGCAGAACAACAACACCCACGACAGTGCTGTAAAAACATGACTTGAAAATGTGTTCCTGTGCTGAAAAGTGAGCCTATATAACAATGTCAGCAACAGACAACTTCACATGTAGAGTCACTGAGGTACATCAGCCGTAGGCACAAGCCGCGTTCCACACCCTCAAAGCGGGCCGGCTGGCCGTGGGCGTGTGGGCGGTGGCAGGCGGCATGGTGGGCGTGTACGAGGTGGGCAGGTGGGGATGGACTGGACGCTCAGGAGTCGCTGACAAGAACAACAAAAGACTCAACATCCACGTCATATCTGATGGTGAGTATTACAAGTCCCATTTTCACCTGAGTGCCAACTTCAACCACTCAAAAGACAGATTTTCGTAGAATCTTCGACAATACTACTGTTGGTGGTTCTATCCAATATCACTACTGGTAATTATATCTAACATTATAAGAAGGCAAATGACTCCCGTCAACCTGAGAGACTCGGACGCTAATACATTCACGTAGGACAACCTTTACTGAAGACGTTTAGGTCCCTGAACCTTGATCACTTCAAATATTCATGCATTTGAAATGATCTAGAGCCATGGAACGATACGTCTTCAATAATGATATCATAAGTGAGTGCCTTTGTGTCCATTTCCCTCATGATATACTTAACATTGCTACTAGCACTTAAACCTAATGTCACCGCTAGTAGATACACCTAATATCACCACTAGTAGATATACCTAATATCATCTCTAGTAGATATGCTTATAATAACTCCTGATAATTGTACTTGGCACCATTCTCACTGACGTAATTAATGTTGGACGGTTTGTGGAGCCTGTTGTTATATTAACGGGGCTTATATGAATTCAACGTAAGTCGTGACAGACGACTGTCAAACGAATAAACAAGAAGAATGGACGGAGATTCGAACAGTGGTCCTGACTAGTAAAGCGCTGGACATACTACATTCAAGACCACGGTTCGAATCCCTATCCATTCTTTCGTTTACTTAAGGGTTGTTTAAAACAACATACCTACTTTATATAGCATACTCTTACCGCTTGATCTTTAAAGTGCTAAATCCTTACCAGGTAAGTGAACCTTTGATCGCTTTGAAGATGACTTTGTAATGGATCGTTACAACTGGAGACTTAAAATGTTCATCTTCTACTGATTATCTTTTGCAAAGGGTGTCTTTTTCTTGTTTACTTTTTTCTCTCACTGTACACATCTTTAAAAAATAATCTATTTCACTATACGTATATAATGTGTATTTAACTGGTTATATTTTATACTTCATGTTATACCATGCTTCACTGCTACATTATACATTTCACTGTATATATTATCTACTTTACTGGTTATATAAATCTCTTTTACCGGTCATATTATCTCTTCCAACAGTTATTTTATCTTCCACTAGTTTTCTGAACTCTTCGATTTCAACAGAAACTCTATTAAAGATTAACTTAAGGGTTACTAAAACCAGAAGCTATATTTGCATTGTAATGTGAACTTGGTACTCTACTGGACGTGCAGTGAGACGACTGGTTAAGCTCGAGACACAGTTGTCATGACTATAGCCTTTCCAAACGCCTGCTAGGCAACCCTGACATTATAGTTAATTTTAAAATAGATTTCTAGAAATATACATCTAAAACAGTACACAAAATCAAGTGCCAGAAGAGTATAAGGATAATTTCGCCTGCGAATATTCGGTTGAGAGAGAGAGAGAGAGAGAGAGAGAGAGAGAGAGAGAGAGAGAGAGACAGACAGACAGACAGATAGACAGAGACAGAGAGACAGAGAGAATTTTCTTAATCCTTTACGTCTTTGAAGGATTCTGTCCTCAAACATTCTGCCTTGAGTAATGAGAGTCGTGCGACTAATTTGTCTGGCACTATACAGCTCCGTGAGCTCTCTAAAAGGGTAAGTGTTCCTCCTCTGAGACTTGACAGAGACACATAAAGGAGTAGGAATGCCCGAGGAAGTGGTGGGTCACTTAAATGTAAATGAAATTCGTCATGCCTCTCGAACACTTAGATATTTACTTTCAAAGTCAGCAGCTGGTTCTCTGCGTGAAGCCTAAAAAGGTAGTCAAAGAGACACTGGCGTGAAGGTAGTATATTGATGCCGACACTATGGATGAAAGGACACAGGATGGCTGTAATGGATACGTTTCGGTACTACGACCTCGATCGAGCCAAATGAGGTCCGAAACGTACGCACTTGAGCCTTTTCATCCACATTGGGGTGAGGCAAGGTTAGGTTAGGTTAGGTAGATTTGTCAGGAAACTGGACAAGTGTTTCCTGACATGGGTCTTAGCCACACGATGACCCGCAGCTGCAGCTTTGGTCATCTGAATGAGGCCTTCCGCTGGCTTACCGGTTCACCCCTTTAAAAATTATGGTTATAATTACAACCATTAGATCCTCTGCTGGTGAGAGGGCTGGCGCTGCTATTTGTCTGACTAATTTCACCTCTCCAACCCGTCATCACCCAAAAAAAAAACAAAAAAAAAAAACGAACCTACTTAACATGTGTATCTGCTGTAATACTCCACTATTCTGTTTGCTTTGAGACAATCATCCTACCTGTACTCATCTAATTGTGGTTGCCGGGGTCGAAACTGTGTGTGTGTGTGTGTGTGTGTGTGTGTGTACTCGCCTATTTGTAGTTGCAGGGGTCGAGTCATAGCTCCGGGCTCCGCCTCTTCGCTTATTGCTACTAGGTCCTCTCTCTCCCTGCCCCATGAGCTTTATCATACCCCGCCTTAAAACTATGTATTGCTCCCGCCTGCACTAAGTCACTTTCACTAGGTCCTCTCTCTCCCTGCCCCATGAGCTTTATCATACCCCGCCTTAAAACTATGTATGGCTCCCGCCTGCACTAAGTCACTTTCTAGGCTATTCCACGGCCTGACTACTCTATGACTGAAGAAATACTTCCTAAAATCCCTTTGATTCATCTGAGTCTTCAACTTCCAATTGTGACCTCTTGTGTCTGTGTCCCATCTCTGGAACATCCCGTCTTTGTCCACCTTGTCTATTCCGCGCAGTATTTTATATGTCGTTATCATATCTCCCCTGACCCTCCTGTGTGTGTGTGTGTGTGTGTGTGTGTGTGTGTGTGTGTGTGTGTGTGTGTGTGTGTGTGTGTGTGTGTGTATGTGTGTATGTGTGTACGTGAGCACGTGTGTGAGTGTGTCAGCATGAGTGCTTACCACTCAAAATAGGATGTTCTTAATGAACAAGATGAGGTGGTATTCGTCTCCTCCTCCTCAGCTGGATATGGATACTCTCTGTTGAGCCTCCCTCCAACCTGGAAGTGCTCATTACCGATGTCATTTATAACTAAGACTCTTACGGTGTTATGGAAGCATCAAGATCCACAACCTTTGCGTAGTTGTGCACAGTTTTTTGTGTTATTCCACGACACGGGAAGAAGCGACCTGATCATCACTTCCTGAATCAACAGTCATAACGTTTGCTAGTATCCTAGGAAAATTCATAAGTAATCACCTACTGTAGGGAATTTCCTGCCACTTTTTTCTGGAAACATCCCCCATAATTTTATAAAAAAAAAATCCAGCTTAATATCATTGAGTACATTTAATCGTTTGAAGCCCATGTAAAAACAATTAAATGTTCGTCTCTGTGAACTACGAGAAACTCTGTAGGTTTACATTTCAATAAGTAGGGTGTCGTTCAATGACATGGGGCGAGTTTCATTTATTCCCATCAGAACCTAGAGTGAAGTGAGCCAAGTGGCCACTCGAAGTCTATTAAACAGAGTTTTAATTAAGTACTGGGTCTGAAAGAAAACTGATCTTCCCTGTCAGTTATTTACCCATTTGCTGGCAAGTGACGTAGCCTCTGAAAAGGTCATTTATATTCTGAATGTGACTAGTGACTTAAAGGCACTAAAATTAGTGGTAGTTTTGGTAAGACATGTGGGAGAGTTTGGTTAATGTCGACTGCCTGCCTCTCATCACCAGGCAGTAACTGGGTGGCATAACACACCCACATGACAAAATAAAACATCAGCTAAGAAAAGCAGTGTAAATTTGAGCCTACCACCGAGGCTTTCAGCAGTTTATGATACTCATCAGAGTTAGGGGAAAATACAAACAAAACACAGTAAACCTTTGTTAATTAAAACGACGTTATCAGGTTATCTTGATGAAGCTTCCCTTCAGCCAAATGTGGTTACAACAAAGAATTACGCTGTTTTGTGCACCTTTTCATCTGCTTGTCGGTTGACTGTCTCTTGTTGTTCTTGTGTCTGGAAGTAACTTGGGCGTTAATCAACCCTTGTGGATTTCGTCTGGTGGAAAAATGCCGAAAACAAATAGAAACACTGAAGGATGAAGGAAGGAGAAAGCATGATTCTGTTGCTGTAACTACAATAACGTAAGAAGTAATCAAACTGACAGTTAATAGTCATCGTACCTTTTTTTTAACACTCGAGGTCCTTCTGAAATTTAAAGAATTCTGTAACAAGATTCAAAATCAATTAACATAAGTGATTACTACTATACAGTACCAACTTGACGTATCCACTTAGGTAGCAGCAATGAGCATGCGTTTCTAATAGAAGTTTCACTTCTAGTATTGCTAACTACTTATTTTTGGTCAAGTGGATGAGCAGCCTTCAACTACAGTATACCATCAGGCAATAATACTGTGGAACCTCGTTGTTTGAACCTAGACCTCGAACAAACCTGTGTCCGAACAATTTTGTTCAGAGAAAATGACCCGGTCTTTGAACGTTTTTCTGAAGTCCTAACGCGCTGACTTGTTTAAAATTCCGTTGCAAAAAAAAATTACATTAAAGCCTTGTTTCAAAAGTGCGTTGAAGTGACCTCTGACACTGACCTAACTCTCAGAGACTTTTGGAAGTCAGTTCAACATCATCCAGTGTGTGAGGATGATAATTAAATCCTGGGAAATACTCTTTCAGACATCGAACTTTTCGCAGTTCAAACACCACCTAGTAACCAACTGAGTTCAAACACTGGGGTTCCACTGTAATGCCAGCTCAGTCAATATCAGCAGCTGCGCATCTCTTCTTGGTGTATGAATACCTAACTAACAGTACCTCATATACACGGGGTGTCCCACAACAGAACATCTTAATAACAGACAATATCTACAGTAACTGTTGCTAAGAAAGTCAAGTGGGTGACTAACGAAACAAACATAATTATTTGACTTGGGCTGTTTTAGTGTGCACGGTGGGTCCCCGTTTTCTGTTCTCACGCCAAAACATTTTATTGGCTTTATCTTATACTTCAAATAGATATTGTGCTGCAATAA